TGTTGAGAAAAAAAAAAATAAAAAATTCCATCAGAAACTGGATTTTTAACAATCCACGTCCTCTTAGATTTATGCCATTATTTATTCTAATACACTTGAGAAATTTTGAAACAACTAAGCATATATTATTAACAAAACGCTATCCTTTCTTAAACAAACCCATAAAACTTGGAAGAAACTGAGGATGCTCACAATAGCTAAAACTATTAAATGAAACTAGTCTTTCGTGAGCATGATTTAGCTCGGCTCGTTAAGACTCGTCTTTATGTTAACGAGTCGAGCTTGTTCAAGCTAAAAAATATGGTCATTTATATAATTTTATAACTCGACTCGTTAAGGCTTGAGTTCGACTTTAACTTATATGATATACTAGCCAAACTCAAATTGATTTTCTCTAAGTGTCAAGTCCAATATAACAACAATTAACTAACGACAAAAGTGTACAAAGATTAGCATTCATCTACGATCCAACCATTTATTCCACTGGCGGATCATTCCTCAAGAACTCATCAATGGTGGACGGGAAAACAAACCCTCCAAAACCACCAAACTCATCATAATCACCCGACTGCACAATACTCGCCTTGCCCAAAAGCAAATGCACTAATCCAAACGGCTCCTTAATCTCACCATCAATAGACCACCTAATCCACCCCTCCAACCTCTCGGCCTCCTCTGCACTCTTCGGCCCCTTCGCGCCCACAATTTTCCTGCAAAACCAATCGTCACAGCCCACGTTACAAGCCCCTTCCTTCACGCCAGTCTCCGACAGGCGCAGGAGCTGCATCAGGCGATCGATGTCGTGGTCAAGACTCGATTTTTCGGCCGGGCCGGCTGTTTTGTCGGCGGTCGGTTGGTTGACGTGGTGAGGTGGGTCGGAGGATTCCGTCAGGAATTCGTGTGGGGCTTCGCTGTCTTGGGGGTTTGAAGGGTTTGTGCTGGCGAAGGGGATGGGATTGATGTAGATTGGGGTGCCGAGGGATTCTGATTGCGGCGCGGTGGTGATGGGATCTGTGGGCGGCGGCGGCGGTGGAGGTGCGGCGGGTGGTGGGTCGTGGTGGTGGTTCTCGAGCTTTAGTCTTTTCTCGAGGTGTTTGAGTGAGGTGAAGAATTGCCGGTGAGGTTGCATAGCTTTTGATTTTGGGGGAATGGGGCTGATGAAATTGAACAGTTGGGGCGATTTAGGGTTTTCGGCTTGATTATTGTATATTTGACGT